CCCAAGTAGCTGGGACCACAGGCACCTGCCACAGCACCTGGCTATTTTTTGGTTGCAGCCATTATTGTTGTTTAGCGGGCCCGGGCTGGATTCGAACCTGCCACCTTAGGTGTATGTGGCTGGCACCTTAGCCGCTTGAGCCACAGCTGCTGAGCCTCTTTAATCTATCTTGAGTTAATTTTTTTATATGGTGAGACAGGGATCCAGTTTCCTTCTTTTTATGTGGCTAATCCAGTGTTCTCAGAACTATTGATTGTATAGGGTGTCCTTCCCCCAGTGTATGTTTTTGTCTGCTTAATTTAGTCATGTAGTTAGTTGTAACTATGTGGCTTTATTTACCCCAATGCTCATTGTCCCTTATCATCAGAGAAATGCAAATCAAAACTACCCTGAGATATATATCACCTAACCTCAGCAAGAATGGCCCACATCACAAAGTCTCAAAACGGCAGATGCTGGCATGGACGTGGAGAAAAGGGAACACTTTTACACTGCTGGTGGGACTGCAAAGCCTTTTTGGAAGGAAATATGGAGAATCCTCAAAGAACTCAAATGAGATCCTGCAATCCCATTACTAGGCATCTACCCAGAAAAAGAAAAAAATCCTTTTATCATAAGGACACTTGCACTAGACTGTTTATCACAGTTCAATTTACAGTCACTAAAATGTAGAAACAGCCTAAATGCCCATCAACCCAGGAATGGATTAACAAGCTATATACCATGAAATACTATTTAGTCACTAAAAAAGATGGAGACTTTATATCTTTCATATTAAACTGGGTGGAGGAGGAACACATTCTTTTTAGTAAAGCATCACAAGAATGGTAAAGCAAGAATCCATTGTACTCAATTCTACTATGAAGCCAGTAGATGATCTAATATAAGGTGGGGGTTAGGGAATTGGGGGAGTGGAGAGAGGGGAGGACAGAGTGGGATGGGGGGTCATGGTGTATGGCACACCTCTTGGGGGCGGGACACAATTATAAGAGGGACTTTACGTAACAAATACAATCAGTGTAACCTAATTCTTTGTACCCACAATGAGTCCCAAACAACAAAAAATTCTTCCTTATTAAAAGATGCTCTTTATGTAGTTTCACTTATAAACATATATCCTGTAGAAAAAAGTGGCATTTCAATATTTTAATAATGTTAAAAAGATACATTGACACTAACATCAATTAGAGATTGCAAGACTAGAAATAAAAGCTAGTTTTATATAAGGAAACCTATTCCCCCAAATAAATCATTGTTGAACCAAAAGTATTTTCTCTTTTATTTTTTTTTAAAGCTAAAGATATTTCAGATATTAATATGTTTGGCTTACTGATTAATCATATAGGGTCTTTTATAGGGAAACTATCTTAAAATGTAGAAAATGCATGTTAAAGGTTATTATGTATATATACATATGTATTCATTATCTGTATATCAACTTTGTTAAATAATTAATAATTCAATAAAAATGATTATAAACTCATACCCATCAGCTTATTAGGGAGTCTGATGAACACAAATTATACACACCTGCTGGAACAGGAACATGATCTGGATCCATGGCTGAGGTTCTTGGCTGATGAGAATAAAACTGGATTTGCTGTATAGGCAGTAATGACCCTTCAGGGAGCAGGTGAAGAACAGCTTTGCTACACAACTCCTAACAGTATCTAGAAACAAGTACACATAGCATTAAACAGTAGGTTCTTGCCAAGTTACACTTGAACACACAAACACCTTTGGAAAATATTCTTCTGCTTTCGGGCTTTGAGTAATAACTCTAAACAACTACAGAGGATCCGTTTCATAGTATGAAGATCTAAATTAAGACATTTTAAGAAGGTTGTATCCTATCCATTCCTCTCTTGTTTCAATTAACAATGTGTGAATAATCCTAGGGAGGAAAAAACTTCTCACCAATAAAAAGAGATACTATGTTATTTTGTTCTGACTGGATACCTTTAAGTGATAACCTGGGAAGAATAAATAAATGGATGAAGGAAATTTGTGCAGTAGGCACAGAGAGAGCTTCCAGAATAACTCTGCCTGAGGAATGGCTTCCTACAAACCAGCCAGGTCTGGTTTGAAAAGATCATGTCATTATGAAGCAGGGAGACTTACTGAGATTATCCTTTTGGGACAAGGAAATGACGGCTGGGTGGTATGGAGCGGAGGTGGTGAGGAGCCATATGTAGACACAAACCAATAATGAATGAATGAATGAATGAAGCAAATATGGGTGGAGAGTCTATGTGCTGGGCACTGCTTCTGTGAAATTAATTGTTTTGGGGACTTAAAAAATTTAGGTTGAACATACAATATCCTGGCATAAAAAATAAGAAATAATTTCTGCATTCTGTAGGTGGAGGGCTCATGAGATGTAAAGCACGCTTGAAGTTTACATTGAAGTGGACAAGACCAGAAGGCCTGGCATGGGAAGGCCATGGGAAAGACTGGAGAGAATGGCGCACAATGTCAACATAAAAGTGCCCCATAAGAAAAGCTTGACTATGGTAATTAAAAAAAGATTGGGACTGATACTCTGAAAAATTGAATTTAATCTATGCTAAAGAAATAGGAAGGCAACTACTATATTTCATAGGAGCATATACACAAAAATAGTATTTGAAATAAATCTAGGTGTAATTTGTACATTGCGATAGCAACATGTATTGTTTTATTAATTTTTTTTCTTATTTGTAGTAGACACAGAGTCTTGCTCTTGCTCAGGGGTCTTGAACTCCTGAGCTCAAGCAATCCACTTGCCTCAGCTTCCCAGAGGGCTAGGATTACGGGTGTGAGCCACTGTGCCTGGCCAACATGTTTTATTCCCTTTTGCTTCAAAAGGGAACAAATTCTTTTCTAAGAATCCTTGCAGTTAGCTTGACCTTGCAAGCCGGACTTCAGGCTTTGCCATTAGCAAATAGTTTATGTCAGCTTGGTGTCTGTAGCCCAGCGACTAGGGTACCTGCCAAAAACACTGGAGCTGGCAGGTTCGAACCCAGCCCAGGCCTACAACAATGACAAATACAACCAAAAAAAGAAAGAAAGAAAGAAAATTGTTTATGTCATTTTCTTTCCTCTAAATTTTCACTACTCATTCACATTTTCATTTGAAAATTTACATTGATTAGATTTATTTTGCTCACCCTGAGTCTATGAGCTTTTTATACAAAAACTACAGAAGTCTTAGAGCATATAAAATAGTCAGAGTGGTAAAACAAAGAGATCTTTAACTTAGAAGTATATACACTGGCCATAAAAATAAATAAATCCTGTGATGTAAGACTCCTCTTAATGCTTTCAGTAAACCTGGTCTATGTTAACATTTTTCTTCTCATTTCCCCCCCGGAGTTCTCCTGGCTTGCAAGTTTTACCCCATAAGATTTAGATTTACTTATTAATTTTTCTCTATAATTTTTTCTGTTTCTGTTCATTCCATGATATCAAATGGTAGGTGTGCAATCAACAGTTATCGAGTGAATAAATAAATGAATGCATGACTGTTAGACACAGAGCTGAGAGCCATAGTAGCTGTTGACCCTGCTCTTCAGAAGCTGATAGCCAAATGAGACAAACGTCAATACACAATGGTTGGAAGTTGTTTTAAGTTTATAAGATGATAAAGGGACACACATTTATGACAACTCAGGAAAATGAACAATGCCTTCTGACTAGGGAGGAAGGGGAGGCATTGTGGAGAGAAAATATTTGAGGTTGACCTTGAAAAATAACCAAGATTTTGAACTTAGAAAAAATATAAGGCAGATGAACATTTTAAATGTAGGAGATCCTGAAAACAAAATCTTGAAAGGCATGAATGTTCAAGGTAATTTCAGGTAGTATGTTTAGTATATATGGGTCGTTAAAATATTTTTTGCCTATATGAT